CCCCCCCCAAAAAAAAACCCCTCCTGCCTTTTATGAGCTGGAGGAAATGCAGGCATCCAGCTCTAACACCCCCTCCCCACCCCAATCCAGAAAGAACCAAAGTGTCCAGGCTCCCATAATGCTCCCATGCTCCCTCCTGGATGGGGGAAACCCAGGTGTCCAGGCTCTTAGCTTCTCTTGCCCTTAAACCCCCCCAGATTCAGACAGAACCAAGGCATCCGGGACCCGGTTCCCAGCACAACCCCCAGCCCCAGGGAACCCAGGCATCTGGGCACCTTCGTTGTTGTCGAGGATGTTGGGGGCAAAGCCGCCCTCATCACCCACGTTGGTGGCGTCCTTGCCGTACTTGGCCTTGATGACGGCCTTGAGGTGGTGGTAGACCTCGGCACCTGTGCGCAGCGCCTCCGCAAAGCTGCTGGCGCCCACTGGCAGGATCATGAACTCCTGCATGGCCAGCTTGTTCCCCGCATGTGAGCCTCCATTGATCACATTGAAGGCCTAAGGGGTGGGGGGGACACGGGCTGGGACCTGCTGGCCAAGGAACCCAGGTGTCCAGGCTCCCCCCCCCCGGGGCCCAGAAAAACCAGACACCCGGCCTGTTGGCTCTCACCACTCCCCCCCCAGGCCCTCCATGGCCAGAGAACCAAGGCGCCCATCCCCCACTCCCCGCAGCAGGGAACCCAGGCATCCAGCACTTACTGGCACAGGCAGGACAAGTTGGGTGTTGCCGGCCAGGTCAGCAATGTGACGGTAAAGGGGGACGCCCTTCTCTGCAGCACCCGCCTTGCACACGGCCAGTGACACCCCCAGGATGGCGTTCGCCCCAAATTTGGCTGGGGGAGGCAGGGGGGTTGATCAGAGCCCCTGTTAAGCCCGGATGCTGCCCGCCCCCAGAGCTAGGTGCATCCAGGCCCTGTTACACCCAACCCGGCCCCCAGAGCTAGGTGCATCCAGGCCCTGTTACAGCCAGCCCAGCTCCCCTAGAGCTGACTGCATCTGGATCTGTTCTACACAACCTGGCCCCCAAGAGCTGGCCGTATCCGGGACCTTTTACACCCAGCCCGGCCCCCCAGACCTGGGCACATCTGAGCCCTGTTACACCCAGGCCCGCCCCCCAGAGCTGGGCACATACGGACCCTGTTACCCCCAGCCTGGCTCCCCAAAGCTGTGCGCATCCAGGCCCTGTTCTACACTACTTGCATCCCCCTGAGAGCCAGCTGTAGCAGGGACCTGAAGTGACTGGGGGACAATGTTGGGGGTCCTCAGAGTGGGTTCATATGGGGCGGGGGTTGGGGTCTCACTCACACTTGTTCTCAGTCCCATCCAAATCAATCATGAACTTGTCGATCTTCTCCTGATCCACCACGCTGAATTTCTGGGGGGAGGGGGAGGGGGGAATGGCTTCTCAAGCAGGGCCGGGACGATGGTCTTGTTGATGTGGTCGACAGCCTTCAACACCCCTGGGGGGATGTATGGGGATGGGGTGAGTCAGAGAATCCAAGCCCCCAGTGCCCCTGCTCTCCCCCCCAGCCCCCTCCCCTCCCCTCCCAGGGAACCCAGGCATCTGGGCTCTGGGAGTCAAGGAAGGGGTCTGGAATGTGGGGTCCAAAGGTTTAGTTTAATTAATGACTCAGTTTCCTTAAAGAACCAACTTGGCTGATGGGGCAGGGCCAACCTGGGGTCACACAGCTAAGTTGGTTGTGGTCTCTGGGTCAACCAATGAGCTGGCAGTTGCCATGGCAACCCCAAGCAACCACCTGCTCACCCATCCTCCCCACTGACCACCCAGCCAGTCCCCAACCCAACTAAGCAACTAACCAACCACCCACCCATCCATCCAAGCAACCAACCACCTAACTAATCTTGCAGCCACCTACCCATCCAACCAAAAAGCCAGCCCCCCACCACCCAACTAATCAATTGCCTACCAAACCAGCCACCCACCCATCCAACGAAGTAACCGCCCAATGCACTGACCTACCAACCCCCCCACCCAACTAATCAACCGGCCCCCCCACTCATTCAACTAACCACACACCCAACCAACTAACCAACCAAATAACCACTCACCCACCTATCCAACCAACTAACTATCCAAGCAAACTAACCAACCAGTCCCACACCCACCTATCAAACTAACCACCCAACCAACCAGTCCTCCACCCACCCACTTACCCAACTAACCAACAAACCAACCAATCCCCCACCTACCCACCTATCCATCCAACTAACTAACCACCCTCCCACCCAACTAGTCAGCTGTGTCCATCACCAGCTCTACCCAATGACCAAGTCAATGTGGGCTACCAACTGCATTGACCAAAGGGCTGATGAGGCAAGAGTTGCCCATAGCAACCACCCAATGGAAGAGCCAATCAGCCCAAAGTCACCCATGTAGCTCAGCCATGGAGAGGGGTTATTTGTCGACCCACCACGGTGACAGTGCCAGGCATGGCCACCACCCAAGGGAATAGTCACTCAGCTGGCCAAGAGCCAATCAGAGGGAACCCTGGGATGGCTCCAGTGAGTCAGTCAGTCAACGGCCAATCATAGCAATCATCCAGGACAGCCACTGACCAATGGAAGTGTCAATTGAGTCAATGCACCAGGTAAAGAGCCAATGGGTGGCCATAGTGGTTGCACAATGGAAGTCAATGATGTCACTCAACTGTGTCAACCAACCAGCCAATGGCTGGCCACAGTGACCACCTGAGACATCCCCTAGCCAAAGGAAGAGGCAGCAGGCTCAGTGCACTGGCCAACAAGCCACCATCAGTCCTAGTGACCACCCAATGGAAGTCAACAATGTCATGCAACCATCTCAACCAACCACCAATAGCTGACCACAGTGACCACCCAACATGTCCCCCAGCCAATGGAAGAGTCCATGGGGGCAACCCATTGGCCAATGAGCCAACAGTTGGCCCCAGCGACTGCCCAAGGGAAGTCAATAATGCCGCTCAACCCTCATTACCAGCCAGTAAGCTGCATGGCCCCACCCCTTCTGCTGGTCCACCAATGGGTGAGTCACTTCTCTCAGCCAATCAGGGTGGCCCACAGCATGCCCTTGGGTCCCACTAACATGGGGTACCTGACCCACCTACCCACAGAAGACACAACCTGGGGGTCTGTGGGGAGTCATGACCCCTGTGGCCCCACCCCACCCTGCCCAGCTCACCTTTGCCCAGGTACCGGCTCTTGTCCCCGTCGCGCAGCTCCAGCGCCTCATAGATGCCCGTGGAGGCGCCGCTGGGCACCGCGGCCCGGAACCGCCCTGGGGGCAGAGGGCATGTGGGTGCCCGGTGTCCCTCACTCCCAACCTGCAGCCCCTGCCCCTCAGCTCTGCTGATGCCCTTCACTTCTGACCCATTGCCCCCCGGTGCCTCTCACTTCTGACCCGCAAGCCCCAGGCCCCCACTCACCCTTGGCTGTGTGCAGGTCGACTTCCACCGTGGGGTTCCCACGGGAGTCCAGGATCTCACGGGCATGGATCTTCTGGATGGACATGGCCTGTGGAGTGGGGGGGAGGGGGAGGGGCAGAACAGGAGGGTGGCTGGAGGGAACCCAGGTGTCCTGGCTCCAAGCCCCCCCTGCTCCAAGCCCCCCCAGGTCCCAGCCCCCTCCCCCCCCAGAGAACCCAGGTGTCGGGGCACCCAGCTGGGCCTACCAAGGCCCATCCTGGGGAATGCAGGTGTCCGGGCTGTAGTACCCAAGGAAGGGGATGGGCCCTGTGGGCCCCCCCCCCCAGCCTGGGAGCCACTGCCAGGGATAAAAATAGCACTGGGTCAGAGGCAAAGGTCAAAGCTTCATGGAAGGTGGGGGTGCAGGAACCCACAGAGACCCCTGGCACACTTCACTCCCAACCCTGTCCCTCCTGCCCCACCAGTGCCCCTCACTCCCAGCTCCCAGCCCTTGGCCCCCCAGTGCCCATCACTCCCAACCTGCACCCCCTGCCCCCCAGTCCAGCCAGTGCCCCTCACTTCTGACCTGCAGCCCCTGCCCCCCCAGCCCTGCCGGTGCCCCTCACTCTGGACCAGTAGCCTCTGCCCCCCTAGCCTTTCCAGTGCCCCTCACTCCCAAGCCACAGTCTCTGCTCCCCCAGCCCTGCCTGTGTCCCTCATTCCCAAACTGCAGCCCCACTCACCGGGGTGTCTCCGGGTCGGGCTGACGGGTGCTGGGGCCAGGGCTGTCATGTCCTTTATATGGCCCCACACATCTCCCCGCCCCCCCATGCCATGACACTGAGACAGGCCTTGGCACCCACTCTGGAACGTGGCCCCTCCCCACCTGGCAAGGGGGATGGCGGGGTGAACCCAGGCATCCAGGCTGCCAGCTTTAAGGCTGCGGCCCCCCCACAGCAGGGGAAGAACCCAAGCATCCAGGCTGCTGGATTCTCTGCACCTTCCCCACCCGCCAACCCTCCCTGGGCACCTGGGTTCTGCACCCCCCAGCGAGGTCTCGGGCACCTGGGCTCTATGTCTGCAGGTTGGTCCTGGGCACCTGGGTTCTCTGGGTTTCCCACCCCATCCAGACGCCTGGGTTCTTATGTGGGTCTTGGACACCTGGGTTCTCTGTGGGGCCCAGACACCTGGGGTTTGGATGTGTGCAGGTCCTGGACGCCTGAGTTCTCTGTGGCCCCCCAACCTGGCTCCCTGTGTGACCCCAGGTCCAGGCCCCTGACACCTGGGTTCTCTGTGCCCCACTCCAGCCCCAAAGTCTTGGGGTCTTTGTGCCCCCCCACATCCTCCCAGACACCCAGGTCCTCTGGGTGTGTGCGCGCTTTGGACGCCTGGGTTCCCTGTGGCCTGCCCCC